GGCCTTCAATTAGCAGTTTAAACGTAAAACACGAATAGATGAAGTAATCAATCAAACAGATAGAATGTGCAACACAATAGTTATACTTGGCTAATTCAGTTTCAATTTCAGTCAGTCGGTTCAGTACTTTTAATCAGTTCAATTATCAGTCATAATCAATTCAGTTTAACGGTAATCGATGGTTATCGGTAATCAATCAGTCATTAATCGGTAAACAGTATGAGCGTTGTTACAGTGAGTTTATTGAAACCTAAGATCAAAACAAAATTCATACACATACATGGTTCAACATTAAAAAAGGCTTCATGATGTTGGCAAAGAGACTTTTGAGAGCACATCATAAATATTTCCCCACATTCTAGTGCAATAACTAATAAAAATTCTTATAATACTTTTTTCTTTTCTTTTTTCGTTTTTTTTTTGGTACAAAAATGGATATGTAGATAGGCTACTCCAACATATCCGCCAGGGAGTATTGCCCTTAGCACCTCCATCATATCTGCAGGGAACTCGATTGCACTTACGTTGCGGCTGAAGCTTAGGCCCCCCGCGTGCTCCAGCGCTAAAGAGTATGTTTAGTCCCAACAAGGGACTATGGAGACTCGAACCCCAGCCTTGAGTGAGAGATTCGAAGGTCTTATCTACTGAACCAACCTCTTGTTAGTCATACAACAAAAAAAAATAAATAAATAAAATAAAAATACAATTTTTTTTTTCTTTTTGATTTGCGCCTCCCATGATATAGTTAGAATGATCACTAGAAAATCTATGCTCCATTTTCCTAACCATGCTGAGTTTGAAAAGCTAAGCTACCTAGTAAGCCAATCCTGATTGACAAATCATATCCATAACTAACATAGTACCAATGAACTACAAATTATTATCTAGTGGAAATAAATAAATGAATTGAATTCTGTAAACCACCAATATAAATGCTTACTCAAATATCATCAAACTTGAAATTATGAATTCTACCTCACTCTCTAGAGGCTATGAAGCATGGACACTCCAAAATCGGTGCCGTGGCAGTGTCTGACACGTGGACACGCCAGGGACACAAGGACACATACGGGACACGCCAAATGGCGTGTCCCTTTAATTTAATGAATTTTTTTGTAGGGGACATGGCGGGGACACGCATGTCCATATCAGGACATGGCATGGGACACAACGGAGCTGAATTTTAATTTTGTTATATTTATTTGGGGTCAAAGTGTAATATTTAAAAAGAAAAAAAAAACAATGATGTAATGCCCTAACACCGACTCCATCACCTCCATCCAGTTGAGAATGAGTGAAAGGGAGAACCAGTCGATCCACTACCTCCATCCAGTTGATCGAAGACCTCTTTGTTTTTTATTTTTTATTTTTTTATACGTTTATATATATGTAAGGCTGTTTCTATTTTTTTGTAATCATATGTTTATATATATGTATATATATATATATCTCTAAAACTGTATTTTTTTAAAAAAATTATAGGTTTATATATATATACACAATATGTAAAAATTTCTTCTTCTTCTTCTTTTTCTTTTTTTTTTCTTTCTAATGTTAATGTTAATTTATAATGGTTATAATTTATAGGAAAAATATCTAATTCAAATTCTGCTAATAACATACCATCTGCCTTTGATGTTGAAGATGATAAGCCACTGTGGAAATATGTGACTAGATTAGAAAATCTGGTGCGGGAGGGGGAAACTATACTTTTTAATGTAACTTTTGTTGGACTACATGTAAAGGTTCATATACTAGGGCAAAAACCCATTTGATGCAAATTAAAAATCAAGGGATAGAAGTGTGTCCAAAAGTAACAAGGATAAAGCTGAATTTGAGAGAGTAATTGCAGAAGTAGAGTTGAAATTGAAAAACTCTAGGTTGAAGAAAGTCTCATTTCCTCCTCCTAGTTCAAGTGCATCATTAGGTTTATGTTTCAATGAACCAAAGGAAATCTATGGATCAAAAAAGAAGAGGTCAACTGCTATAGGGAGTGGAAGTAGTAACCCTGTTATGCAAGCATTTAACATTGGGGCTCGAGAACGATTAAATGGTGAGATGGCTAGAATGTTTTATTCAGTAGGCTTGCCATTTCAATTGACAAGAAATCCTTACTATGTTAGTGCATTTACTTTTGTTGCAAATAACAACATACAAGGATATGTACCGCCTGGGTATAACATGTTGAGAACTACATTGCTTCAAAAAGAAAGGATAAACATTGATAGGTTGTTAGACCCTATTCGAGGCACATGGAGAGAGAAGGGTGTGAGTATAGCCAGTGATGGATGGAGTGATTCCCAACAAAGGCCATTAATAAATTTTATGGGTGTTACCGGAGGTGGGCCTATGTTTCTTAAAGCAGCTGATTATTCAGGAGAAACAAAGGACAAGTATTTTATTTCCAACTTGATGAAGGAAGTAATCATGGAGATTGGGCCTAAAAACGTGGTTCAAGTCATTACAGATAATGCCCCAAATTACAAGGTTGCGGGGCACCTAATTGAAGCGCAATTTCCTCACATCTTTTGGACTCCTTGTGTTGTGTACACCCTCAATCTTGCCTTGAAGAATATTTGTGCTGCCAAGAATGTGACAAATAATTCAGTTGCATTTAAAGAGTGTAATTGGATTAGTGAGATTGTGGGTGATGTGATGATGATCAAAAATTTTATTTGTAATCATTCCATGAGGGTGGCAATGTACAATGAGTTTGTGAGTTTGAAACTTCTTTCAGTTGCCGAGACACGCTTTGCTTCTTCTATTGTCATGCTTAAGAGGGTCAAGTTGATAAAGCAAGGT